TGGACTACTGGACTCTTTTAGAATATTTGGCTGAGTTAACACACCTATAATATTCAAATAACGGAACTAAACAAAAAAAGGGTATACAGATGAATGTTCATTTTGTATCTGTGTATTCAAAATGGTTAGGATAGATACATAGTTACATTCTCTTAATAGAGGGATTTGTTCTAATAGTGTTTGTAAATAGGATATCATGTCCGCATCTTGTATAGCAATTAACCACTAGGAAGAATGTATGCAATGTGTAAATTATTGAAACTCTCCTACCAATTTGGTTTGAGACTATCTCATTGCTATTTGTTTCTCAATAAAATTATGGGGAAAAAAGAAAAAAGATGTTAGAAAATATAAATGAATAAACTTTTGAGCATCTCTGCTCTTTAAATTTGGTGCAATTCAGTACTATCATTTAAAATTTGATCTGTATGCATTGGCTTTAATTAAACATTTTGTTATTGCATTAAAAAAAAGGTCTGAGGGCTCTTGGGAGGCTGTAAACAGGCAAATCGCTACAAGTCCGATTTAGTAGTGAAACTCTGAACATCCTGTAGACCCTTCCCTAAAATACAAAAAAATAAAAAATAAAAAGGGCTGAGGTTTGAGCTCTAGTAGTAAAGTGTTTGCCTAACATGTCCAAATCCCTGGGTTCTATTTACCATACTACAAAAGAAAAAAAAGGGAAAAGGGGGGTGAAACGTTAAAAATTACCTGACTGGGAGTAAATTGCAATATTACCAGCAGGGTAGAATGTTCCTTTAGGAAGCATGGCTTCGTTAGGAGTATTGAGTGACCCTAACACTAACCCAACCCTAGCCTCTTTGCTGAGCCCTTACGTTGATGAATAATGCTCCCAGTGCATAAATCCTGTGGGGGCTCTAAAGGGTCCCTGGAGCTGGAAATTGCTTTAGTGGATACTGCACGCAGGAAGGAGAGGACGGTGGAAGTCAAAGGTGTGTGGTGGACAGCGCCAGGCTGAGACCTGTGCTATAACCTGCATTTACTCTCTTTAAGAAAGTTTAAGGGTGGGGGTATAGCTCAGTGGTACAACCACGTGCTTGCTAAGTGCAAGGGCCTGAGTTTAATCCCCGGTACAAAAGAAAAAGAAAGAAAAGAAAAGAAAAGAAAAGAAAAGAAAAGAAAAGAAAAAAAGAAAGAAAAGAAAGAAAAGAAAGAAAAGAAAGAAAAGAAAGAAAAGAAAGAAAAGAAAGAAAAGAAAGAAAGAAAGAAAGAAAGAAAGAAAGAAAGAAAGAAAGAAAGATGGATGGATGGGACCTGACATCGCTTAGAGGTAGTGACAGTGCCCCAGTCCCAGCATCTTGCACCTTGGTGGCACATGCCTGTGATCCTAGCACTCTGGAGGTTGAGGCAGGAAGACCATTATGAGTTTGAGACCAGCCTGGGCTACAAAGTGAGCTCAAGGCCAGCCTGAACTATATAGTGAGACCCTGTCTCAAAAACACAAAGAAAAACAAAGCTTAGTTTGGGCAGGGGATATAACTCAGTAACACAGCACCTGCCTGACAAGTGCATGGTCCTAAGTTCCATTCCAAGTTTAATTTTTTTGGGAGGGGTGGAACCAGGGATTGAACTCAGGCCCTTGCACTTGCCAGGGAAGCGCTTATTCCACTGAGCCATCTCCCCAGCCCTTAAAAAGAATCTTAGCTATCTGAATAATTAATGTATTCATAATATAGGAGTCAGAAAGCCCCGAAAATAGAATTAGAATTGTGTAGTAGCCTACATTAAATTGTAAGTACAATTTTTTTTTCTTTTTTTAGCACTACTGAACCCAAGGCCTTCCCACTGAACCACATCCCTATTCAACCCCATTGGGGCCAGCAAGAAAGCTCAGTGGCCTAAAGGGCCTGCCCTCAGGGTGGCTTGAGTGGCCCAAAAAAAAATCCTATTCAGCCCCATTTTAAAATTTTTGAGACAGGGTATCACTAAGCTGCCCAGATAGACTTGTTGTAATCCTTCTGCCTCAGTCCCTTCAACACTATTCTGTGATTACAGGGGAGTGCCACTGTCTTTATTGTATGATCCTGGGAATCCAGGCCATAAATTGGAGCAGAGACAGGTAGTTTCTTCACTCAGTGACACCCCCCACCCCAGTATCTGTAGTGCAATCCAGGGCACTATACCACTGAGTTATGTGCCCAGAACATTTTACTTTAGTTTGTGACAGGGTCTTGCTAAATTGTCCAGGTTGGGTTTGCAGTTATGATCCTCATGCCTCAGCCTCCCAGAGTGCAGGGATGACGGACCTGTGTCAACATGCCCAGCTTCCAGTGACTTTTAAATTTCTTACACACACATAAGATTTGTTTCAAATACACGTGATCATAGGCAGATAATACATTCCAATCTCTAATAACTTTATAACAATTTTCTTGAGGTATTTTATGTGTAGGGGGATGGGGATATGGCTCAGTGCTAGAGCTCTTGCCTTGCATGTGCAAAGCCCTGGGTTTGATCCCTGCAACACACACACCACACACACACACACACACACACCAGCCAGCACTAGTAAAAGTTTTTTTTTTCAGAACCAGGGATTGAATTCAGGCCCTTACGCTTTCCAGGGAAGTGCTTATTCTACTGAGCCATCTCCCTGGCCCCAAAGATTTAAAATTTAACCCATGTATATGGCTCAGTGGTGTAGTGCCTGCCTGGCAAGCACGGCACCATGGGTTCGATTCTGGTACAAAAATAAATAAATAAAGAGATTTAAATTTGTTTTAAATATATGTAGAACTTCCTTCTTTTTGCTTGCTTGTTTTGTGGTGTCAATCAAATGTGTGTGTGTGTGTGTGTGTGTGTGTGTGTGTGTGTGCATATGTTACTAGAGACTGAACCGAGAAACTCTGGATTGAGCCTTGCCCAAGGTGGCCTGAATTGTAATCCTACTGCCTCAGCCTGCCAGTACGCTGGGATTATAAACATGTACCACCATGCCCAGTTTGTATACCTTTTTTTTTTTGTATTGTAGGGAAGGGCCTACAGGGTGTTCAGAGTTTCACTACTAGATTGGACTCATAGTGATCCACCTGTTTACAGCCTCCCAAGAGGTGGGATTACAGGTTCACTCCACCATGCCCAGTCTCAATTGCCAGCTCAGCTCACCCAGGGGGCGGGTCTGGCAGGGCAGACCTGGGGATTGAACCACCCCACTTCCACCCCACTCCCACTCCCCTCCCAGCCCTTGGGCCTGCCTGCAGGTGCTTTAATCAGCTGAGCTATTTGGCTGGCCCTGCTTATCTACCTTGTGTGTGTGTGTGTGTGTGTGTGTGTGTGTGTGTGTGTGTGTGTTTTAGTACAGGGTCTACAGGGTTTCACTACACAGATTGGACTTGTAGTGATCCACTTGTTTACAGCCTCCCAAGAGCTGGAATTACAGATGCCTGCCACCACACACACTCTCAATTGCCATCTCAGCGAGCCCCAGGGGCAGGACTGGCACAGCAGGCTCGGGGATCAAACCCCGGCCCCTGCACCTACTTGCAGGCACTTTAATCCGCTGAGCTATTTGGCTGTCCCTCAAAAATTTTTTTTAAAGAAGGAGAAAAAAATTAAAGGAGGGACTGTTAGGGAGTTAACTTGTTGCTAGAACAATTGTCTAGACTGTAAAAAAAAAAAAAACCTAGGTTCCATATGTGGCACAGGAAAGGGGGGTGGGGAGAAGGAAGGAAGGTAGGAGAGCGGGAAAGAAGAAAAAGGGAAGATAAGCGACTATTACAGATTTTAAGCATCATTTCATTGTGCTTAAAAGTCATTTGTATCCCCCTGAACCCCCTATCTCGTGCACTGAGCTGCCCTAGTCCGAATCTGTGTGTTGGTGACAAGGCGTGGTGGCACATGCCTAGAATCACAGTGCTGGGGAGGTTGAAACAGGAAGATCCCTAGGAGCCCAAGCTGCATAGTGAGACCCTGTACCAAATACATTATAGCCATTTGAATATCTTCTCTAGAAAAGCATAATTTTAGATTCTTTTTTTTTTTTTTTTTGGTACTGGGGATCATCAAACTTTAGACCTTGTGCTTGCCAGGCAGACACTTATTTTCAGATTCAATGGCAGTGTTCCACATTGTTTTATTTACATTTATGTTATCACTGAATGGGGCTTGAGCCCAAGGCCTTCATTCACCCTACATTCCCCAGCCCTTTCTAATTTTGTTTTTCATCTTATGACAGTGTCTGAGTAAGCCAGTAGCTGAGTGTGGTGGTGCACGCCTGGAATCCCAGCAGGGAGGCTGAGGCAGGAGGATCATTGAGAGTTCCAGACCAGCCTGGGCTATAAAGTGAATGCAAGGCTAGCCTGACCTGCACCATAAGATCCTATCTCCAAAAGAACCCCCCCCCAAAACAAAAAGTCAATAAACTGCCCAGAGTGCTAAACTTTCAGTTCTCCTACCTTAGCCTCTCAGAGTGTTGAGATTACAACCACACACCACTACACCTGGCTTATAAGTATTCTTTATGTGTTTTCAGTAAAAATCCCTTGTGTTATGTATAACTTGCAATTAACGTGTTACATTCTGTTCGTTTTTGTTTGTTTGTTTCTTCATTTTCTGTCTAGTGTGTGTATTTATTTATTTATGAAACAGGGTCTCACTTTGTAGCCCAGCCTGGCTGACAGTGATCCTCCTGCCTCTGCCTTCCCAGTGCTAGAACTGTGGGAATGTACCAGCACCCCTGGATGATGCATTTAAAGAATGAACATTCTATTTTTTGTAGTGCTGGGATTGAACCCAGGCCATTGCCCACCTTAGCCAAGCACTCCACCACTGAGCTACCCCCAAACCCCTCCAAAGTTTTGTTTGAGGAATACCGGGAATTGAACTCAGGACCTTGCACTTGCCAAATAGGTGCTGCATCCTGAGCTATAGCACCAGCCTTTTGTTGTTACTGTTTTTTGAGAAAGGGTCTTATGTAGTGCAGGCTAGCTTTGAATTCACTATATATAGCCCAATCTGGCCTCAAATTTCCAGTGATACTCCTGCCTTAGCCTCTGGAGTGCTGAGATTACAGGAATGATTACATCACCACCATGCCTGGCTCCCTCCATAATTTTTTTTTCTTTTGGTATTTTAGGGAAGGGTCTACAGGGTGTTCAAGGTCTCACTAGTAGATCAGACTCGTAGTGATCTGCCTGTTTACAGCCTCCCAAGAGCTGGGATTACAGGCGTGCGCCACCACACCCAGTGTCCCAGTTTACCATGGGTGCGGGGCCAGCACTGCAGGCCTGGGGATGGAACCCCCAGCCCCTGCTCCTGCTTGCAGGCGCTTTAATCAGCTGAGCTATTTGGCTGGCCCCATAATTTCTTTAAATGGAAAAAGAAATTTATTTACAAGGGGTGAGGGTATAGCAGCAATCCCCCTGATGTACATAGTAGGTGCTCAATAAATACTAACAAAAGCACAGAGAAATAAATACCTAGGAAGAATGAATAGATCTTCCACCTTGACTAAGTAAGTATCTGAGGAACTACATTTACTAGCGGGGAGTGTAGTGTACATCTGTAAGCCCAGCCAGCTACTCAGGAGGCTACAGCAGGACCCTCAGTTTTGTTTTGTTTTGTTTTTTCGTGGTACCAGGGATTGAAGTGAGGACCTTGCGCTTGCCAAACAAGCACTTATTCCACTGAGCTATCTCCCCGGCCCAAGACCCTCAGTATTGTACTGCAGAACACGAACTATGTTGCCAGGCGCGGTGGTGCACGCCTGTAATCTCCGCATTGGGGAGGTTGAGGCAGGAGGATCCCTGAGTTCGAGGTCAGGTTGAGTGAGTACAATGCCAGCCTGAGAGACAGAGACAGATTGGGAAGGTGGGAAGGTGGGAAGGTGGGAAGGTGGGAAGGTGGGAAGGAGGGAAGGAGGGAGGGAGGGAGGAAGCTAGCGCACTATATTTCCCAGAATGCGTGGTCCGACGCATTTATATATTTAAAAGGAGGATCATTGTTCCCACGGTCCCTCGTCGCTCACCCTATGACGATTCCACACTCTCATGGGAAAGGTAGTTCTTCGGCTCCTCCGTAGGCTTCTCGCGGCTGAAGCACAAACTAAACTTCCCAGCAGGCAGCGCTCCAGCCTGGGACAGGGAGCAAGATGGCGGATGCCGAAGAGGAGGTTGCGGAGCCTGCTGCCCCTTCCGCAGCCCCAATTTCATTCGGGTTCACTCGCACCTCTGTCCGGAGGCGACTGGCGGCTACAGGGGACGGCACGGGGTCGGCCCCAGAAGAAAAAGATTTCTTGAAGATCGTGGAAGGAAAGGAGCTGCAGAGGTAAAGTGCTAAGCCTTTCACGCGTTGGTGTTCAGTGTGGTGGGCTCTAGCGAGAGGGTGGACTCTTGAGTTGTCTTGGTGATAGTGACCTGAAAAGCCTGAAGCAACCTGGGAAGATGTATGGAGGGGAGAAGGCGGGAGTTTGTAGGTGAAGCGGGGAAATTGGGCCTGATAACTTGGGGGGATGTATTCTTTTGAGAGCTGTTTGCCTTCTTTTTTTTTTTTTAATTTTATTTGTTTATTTATTTATTGTGTGTGTGTGTGTGTGTGGCCAGCTCAGCCCACAAGGGGGCGGTGCTGGCTGGCATGTGGTGCTGGGGGATTAGAACCGTGGTCCCTGTGCTTTGTTTAGCTTAGCTTGTTCTAAGTAGGTGCTCTAGACCACCGAGCCATCTCACCAGCCCAGAGCTGTTTGCCTTCTGAGAAAAGCAGAGGATGACTAGGGTTTTGTCTGAAATGATGAGGCCTCTCTGTTATGGAGAACGTGCTGGAGTTTCAGATTAAGGTTGAGGGGGACTGTCATCAGCTCACTTAGTAAAGGAGAATGGCTGGGCCTGGCGCGCTCGCAGGGTGGGAGCAGGGGGGACTTCCAAGAGAGAATCGTCCGTCGCGAAGGCTGGGCTGGGTGGCCCGAAAATGGTGACTTGTGGGTGACTGTGCACGAGGCTTTGGGAATGACTGGAAGATACCTGCTTAATGCAGGTCTGGAGGGGGGATGCAAAGAATGCCCCGACAAAGACAATAGAAAATCCAAACAGCAGGATGGACTATATGGTCCATTAAACAGAGTGAGTTTGGCTCTTTTGTTTGTTTGTTTTGTCTTTGAATGAAGGAGTGTGGCTCAGAGCCCACTAGCCCTTGCTACTCGTCTTCCCCAACTTTGTCCTCTGTGTCCACATCAGTGTGAAGCCTGTAGAAGCCCCTAAGGAACTGGTCATCCCATTGATCCAGAATGGCTTTCAAAGGCAGGCCTTGGCCCAGACGTCTGTGCCATCCACAGAGGCTTTGGAGGATGGGGTGTTGTCCCAGGCTGTGAAGGAGCTCATTGAGGGTATGTGATCCATGCTTTGTCCTGCCTGCATGAGGGAAGATGGGGAGAAAGGGGAAAGGATGGGGTGTGAGCTCATTGTACCTTCCCATTCTTCCTTAGAATCCAAGAAGTCTCTGGAGGAGAGAGAGAACTCAGGTGTTGACTCTATGCTTGCTATCCCCATGATCCAGAAAGGATATACTCCTAATGAGGAAGGGGCAAGCAGCACACCCCAGGATGAGACAGTG